TGCGGAGCCGCCTCTGGGCAGATGCAGGGGTTGGCTCCTAATCCCCATCCAGGCGGCCCCGGGCCAGCGCTGCTGCGGGGCTGTCAGACAGCAGCGGGTGATTGATGCCCCGCGGGGTCCCCCGGAGCCGCGGCTGGAGCCGGGCTCGGCTGCGGAGCCTTCACCTGTTCCTGTGCTCAAGCAGCCTGGCTCCGGGGTAATTCCGGCTCCCAGACAAGCGCTCCCTGGGGTGAGCTGGGAAAGGCTGAGCCGGGGCTGCGGAGCTCCCCGCACCGCTCCTGCACCTCCCGGGCCAGCACAGAGCACCCGGGGCACGCAGGATGGGGCCCCGGTGTCCCCGGATGCCCTGGGAACGGGGGTGCTCTGCTCCGGAGGGACTGCAGGGACAGGACAAGGGGTGATGGGTTCAGACTGGAACAGGGGAGGTTCAGGTTGGATATGAGGCAGGGAGCTGGATGAGCTTTAATGTCCTTTCCAACCCGAGCCGTTCCATGTTCCCTGATGTTATATTGCTCAGTGGTTGTGCAAAGATCGGGATCTATGGGGGCATTCTGCCTCCCGGGCTCTTTATTTGCTTTCCAGGATTTTCTTCTGGCCCTGAGGTAGGGTCACGTCTTCTTCTCTGCTGTGTTATCCTGGGGGATGTGAATCCCCTCTTTATTTATCCTAGCTGGAAGCTGACATCCCGCTGCATTCTCATGACTCCAGGACCTGGGGCTTTAGCAAAAATGCTAAATATTAGAAGCCTCCCCATAATTCTGCAGCGTTTTGGGTGGGGATGGGGAGTGGGGGCACTTGTGCAGCTCTTAAACCCACGGTTTGTTTGTTGAATGGGGCTGAGAGACTCAAACCCTCTCCCCCTTCCCTCCTTTGCCTGCTTGCTCCCATCCGCACTGTGGGAAAGCCGGGCTCTGGAGCTGAACCCCACAGCTCTCTCCTTCCTCCCCACCAGTTTAAACCCACCTGTGAGAAACTATAGACTAGGGTATTGTTTATTAAGATATATGTTAAGCCCAAAATAAAGGTTAGGCAACAAAAGATATGAAACCGCTTATGCAAATAGCCACCGGACACAGCTTACGCGAGATAAGATAACCGCAAACGCTTACACCAACTAAACCCAACCCAGTCCTCCCAGTCCCAAGGCCCAGGGATGAGGGACCTCGGTCTTGCAGCGCGATGGGAGCTGTGGGGCCGCCGGTTTTCCCTGCTGGTGGAGATGGGGATAAAGATCACCATCTGCTGCTAAGTGCTTGTACTGCAAACATCCCCTCCCGCACCCCGCAGCGCTCTGCTTCCCTCCCGAAGCCACAAAGCGCTGCAGGATCCAGGGGCGGTGAAGCCTCCGGCAGGAATACAAGGAAGAGGGAACTATAAGGCAGGAAGAGAGGAGCAATTCCACACGTGTCTCCCCGCGGCTGGAACTGCGGGTTCAGAAGGTTTCCAGCCCTGGGCAGCTTTCCAGCAAGCGGAGCTGAGGGGGTTGTAAAGCTGGGTTGTGATTTGAGCCCATCTTTAAAGGTGTTTCCTGCATCCCGCACCCGTCCCCAGCCCTTCCCTGCACCCTGTGTGGTTCACACACACCCTCCCCGCAGCATCCGTGTCCTGAGTTTCTTCTGGCACCTCCCTAGGCAGCAAGGTAAAAGGCAGAGTCCGAGCATCCCCTTGGTACCAGCAGGAGGTAAACCCAGGCTCTTGGATTGCACTGAGTACCTGCTCTCCAGCCTGAAACACTGCCTGGACCTAGGGAAATCTGCCCCCAGGACACCGGGTACAGGACTTTCAGGAGGAAATCAGGCAGGATGGGAAGAAGGCAGCCCCAAATGTTCCAGTGGCTGCAATGTGCTGCCCAGTGCACACATGAGGTCAGCCCTCATTCACTGACATCAGGGGAAGGTTTGGGGCTCCCTTCAACCTTTATTAAGCCAAATCCAGCTCCTTCTCTGTGCTTTAGTTCTTGTGTTCAGGTACAGAGGTGATGGGTGATCCCCTTCACTCCTGGGATGTGGTGCTGGGGTTTTCCAGCCCCATGCCTTCTCCTGAACAAGAGCCATTCCCAATGTGTGTGTTAGGGAATTGCAAATGTTACCTTTCCTTCAGACAGGGAGCGTGGTCATTGCCTCTCCTGTTGAACCTGGCATTGCCCAGAAAGCCAGGAGCATCCCTTGGGACTGAAAGAGCCGGGTGGCTGTTGCTGTGCTGGTCTCCCTGTGGCAGAAGGTGCTCCCCATCCTCTGCTCTCCCATTCTACCTCCCCATGAGCGACCTGGTCCACGCTGCCTCTGCTTTGCTTTGCTTTAAAGCTGAGTCTTGCTCCTCTCACCAAGGTCTCAGTGTCCCAGAGCTCGGGGTGGTTTGCATTAGCACCCTGCACAGCCCATGGTGGCCACGGAAGGCATTTGGGCTCCATCCAGGCAGCACCGTGCTCGCCCCGGCCTCTCCCAGCGCCATCCCTAACACAGGACATGGGGGGGTTTGATCTGCCAATTAGCCTCAGCCGGGGCCGCTAACGGGAAGCAGATGGAGCTGGGTGTTACCAGAGGGGAAAATCTGCCACTTCCCACAGGGATCCTGGCTCCCGCTCCTGCCCGGCCCCGAGGCTCCATAACCCAGTGCTTTGGGATGCGGTGGGGGACTGCCAAGGGCCAGGCCAGCTCCGGCTCTGCATGGGAATGGGATTGAATCCCTACCAGAGATGCTCCAAACCTGTTGCCTCTCCTTATTGGGCCATGCAGTGCCCTATACCCTCCCTAGACCCTTTTCCCCATCCCAGTGGAGGGCAGAGAGCTCCAGGAGCATCCCAGAGGGCAGGAGGGTGCCTGGGGTTCCGCTGTGCAAGCCCCTGGCGCTCCCAAACCCCTCCCGAAGCATTTATCAGCTTCAAAAAGGCAACTGTTCAAATAGCATTAGGGGACTGATTTCGAGTCACAAAAAGCCATGAAATTCAGAGTTAAGGCTAAAAAATCCACTTGACACTCTGGCCTTAAGTCGTAAAAGGCGTGAGCCAAAGGCAGCGGCGCTCAGCTCCTGGGATGCGGCATTCCCATCTCCAGGAGAGAGGGTGCGAGGCAGAGCCCTTAATGAGATTTAAATGAGCTGATGGAAATCAATCAGGAAGGGCTGGGAGGTGTCAGTGGAGGAGCTCTAGGAGGGTTTATCCTAAGCTTGGCAGCAGGATGGGACTTGGAGAATGGGACATCCCTGTGGTCCCACCTGGATGAACTCAGGGGGTTCAGAGACATTCCCTGAAGGATCCCAGTGGGTTCAATCCTTTCCTCCCTGCTGAAGGATTGGGGTGGTTTTGGAGCTGAACTGGGATGCCGGGTGCCCTCCCAGTGTGCAGCACAAGGATGCTTTGTACCAACCTGGATGATACTGAATGAGGCGCTTACCGGACGGTCCTGCCTCGTGCAAGGGCAATGGCTTCATTTTAGCAAAGAACACAAAACTGGGTTGGTTTATTATGGTTTTTTCTCTTTGGAATGAGAAGTGCTGCGGGTCCTCAGCCTCAGTGTTATCTTTTAGCAGATGCATGCACGGAAGGTACCAAACACGCTCTATCTAGCCCTGGATTTGGCAACAATTTGAAGAAATCATTCATAGAACACCACAAAGGGTGTTTAAAGATTATTTTATTGCAGATTTTCTCAGTTAAACCAAAATTCACACCTATCAGTGCAACACCTTCATGAGCTGCATGCTAAACAGCAGCCCAGGCCTGGACAAGATCCACACTTAATGCTTATTACAGCAGGGTTCTCCACTCTGGCTGCAAACCCTCGTAACTGAACAGTTATTAACTGTAGGTGTTACAAAGGTGTTTAATTACAAATGATCCTGGAAGGAGACAGACCGTGCCTAAGATCCCTTTTCCTGTTCCCATTGCAGGACCCATTGGTGTGACCGCACTGATGGCAAGGCAGCGCCTGCACAAGTCACAGCAACAGGGACCACAGAGGCCAGCACTGATCTGACTTCACACCAGGGTAGCTCGCAGAGCCTCAGTGATGTGCCCGTGTCAGCAGCAGCTCCGCAGGCCAGAGCACAAGGGGCTGGGAGATGCCTCTTGCTCTGGTTATTGCAGCCCCCACTTGCTGTCCCAGCCCCTCCTGCTAATCAAGTGAAATTCCCTCCATTTCCCCTTCAATTCCTTCCAGGGATTTGAGGGATGCTGCAGCTTGTGCAGGAACGCTCCTGTACCTGAAACACCTTCTCTTAAAGACTTAACAACACACAGTGAACATGCAAGGATTGGAGCAGAAGCAGCCAAAACCCATGGGAGGCAGCCTGACCTCCTCACCAGTGATGAAACAAAGGGACCAAGCGGGGTGCTGCTGCTCCATCTGCCCCATGTCTGTGCACACCGAGACCATTTGCAAGGTAACGTGCAGGGAACCCCGTCTGCTGCCCTCAGAGCAGAGGAGTAAGGCACTTACTCCAACTCACCTGAAGCAGCACCGCACTCGCAGCTGCCCTCTCCTGCCAAGTTCTCCCCTACATCAAGAATGTTTGGGGGTGTCTGAGCTTTGCCCTTGCTCAGTGACAGGGAGAAAACACAGCTCAGGGCTCCCACCACATTGACTGTGGTTTAAAGCAAGCCTGGCTGCCCAAACCTCCCGGCAAGGCTGGCTCAGGCAGCCCTCGGCTTCCAATGGTTTCTGCTGGTGCAGCTCCCTGGGGACACAGGGAATGACACAGCTTTTGGCAGGACAGGGCCAGCCTCTTAATGCTCAGCTCCTGCTTCAACTGCAGCCCCATTGAGAGGGAACTGCGCTGGAGCACTCAGGGTGGACAAAACAGAAGGTCAGGTTGGATGGGGCTTGGGGCAACCTGGTCTAATGGAAGGTGTCCCTGCCCATAGCAGGGGTTGAAACTGGATCTTAAAGTCCTTTCCAACCCAAACCAGTCGAGGGTTTTATGACAAAAGGAAACTGGGATGGAACCACACACCTCCAGCACCCCTGAATCCATTAACACATCACCCTCACATGGACCACAAGGACTTTCTCTTCTGCATTTACAGTTTAATAATAGAATTTTCATTTCAAAATAAAACCCAAGCTCAGGTTAGAGATCAGTACATCTAAGTGCTTCTCGAGGGTGTAGCTCAAGGCCACTCTGTGCGTTGAGGATCAGTAGTACCAGTGGGGCCGGGGAGCAGGAGGTGTCACTGCATGTAGGCATAGCGCCAGTCCGTCAGGGGCACGTGTGTCTCCTTGATGGCCTGAGGAGACGTCCAGCGCAGGATGTAGTGGGGGCCACCAGGTTTGTCGTTGGTGCCTGTTTCAGAAGGAAACAAAGTGCAGGTGACCATGAGCTGGAGGATACGGGGACCTTTCAGGCCCACCTTAAAGGGGATGCAGCACCTTTAAGGGGGATGCTGAGCCCTTAAGGGGATGCAGCTCCATGTGCTGTCTGCGGACAGGGGTTTCAGGCCTCACCTGAGATGCGGGAGCCTCCAAAGGGCTGCTGAGCCACGACGGAGCCTGTTGACTTGTCATTGATGTAGAAATTGCCAGCTGCATTGCGCAGGAAGCTCCTGGCCTCCTCGATGATTCTCCTAAGGAGGGATAGAAACAGCTCTGAGAACCCAACAGCAACTGGTGTGCAGGCCTCTACTCTTCTGTACCCATTAAAATCATGCAAAAAGCACATTTTCATGGCATCTAAGGGCTGCACATCGTTTATACACTCATAGCATCATAGAATGGATTGGGTTGGGTTGGGAAGGACCTTAAGATCATCCAGTTCCAATGCCCTGCCATGGGCAGAGACACCTCACACTAGTCTGACACACACTGAAGCAGGTTGTGCACCCTAAGAGCTCATGTAAATGATCCCAGGTTTGTTTTCTTCTAGTTTGTTTCTACATTTGACTGCTATAAATGAAGGTAACTGAGACTTAAGGATGGTCCCTCATTGAGGTTACCCTGCTCTGAGCCCTCCTCCTACATGAGAGGTGTGTGGTGTATCCTTCTGTACTCTCCCATCACCTCTGAGGCAGTTTCTCAATGAAAAAGCATTTGTAGGCTTGTTATGGTTGTTTTAGAAACAAGCCCCTGCCTCTTCAGCGGGAGGAGGGGGTAAAGCAGCAGGAAATGCTCTCCTTCATCCCCATCGTGCAGCACAGGGCGCCGGGGAGCAGTGACACAGACACCTGACCCAAGAAGGGCAGCAGCATCCTCACTGTGCTGGCAGAGCCGGCTTTGGCACTTACTTCTCCTGGGCGAAGACCGCCCCCGTGAGGCCGTAGGGGGTGGTGGTGTCGATGAGCTCCAGGACCTCCTTGAACCGCTCCTCGGGGTACACGTAAACCGTGAGGATGGGGCCAAAGATCTCCTGTGCAGCGAGAAGACAACGGAGCAGTGAGCGGGGACAGCCTCCGATCAGCACTGAACAGCTACAGCCGGGGTGAAGAGGAACATCCCTGAGGAGAGGACTTGGGGGTGTTGGTCAATGGGAAGCTCCCCATGACCCGGCTTCAGTGAGCGCTGGAGCCCAGAACCCCCCCGTGTGCTGGGCTGCACCCCCAGAGCGTGAGCAGCAGCTCAGGGAGGGGATCCTGCCCCTCTGCTGTGCTCTGGGGAGACCCCCCCTGCAGCCCTGATCCAGCTCTGGGGCAGAAGCACAAGAGGGACCTGGAGCTGCTGGAGCGAGGCCAGAGGAGGCCATGGAGATGCTGCGAGGGCTGGAGCAGCTCTGCTCTGGAGCCAGGCTGAGAGAGCTGGGCTGGGGCAGCCTGGAGAAGAGAAGGCTCCTGAAGGGGAGACCTGAGAGCAGCTCCAGTGCCTAAAGGGGCTGCAGGAAAGCTGGAGAGGGGCTTGGGACAAGGGCCTGTAGGGACAGGCCAAGGGGAATGGCTTGAACCTGCCCGAGGGGAGACTGAGCTGAGCTCTTAGGCAGAAGCTCTTCCCTGTGAGGGTGCTGAGGCGCTGGCACAGGGTGCCCAGAGAAGCTGTGGCTGCCCCATCCCTGGCAGTGCTCAAGGCCAGGTTGGACACAGGGGCTTGGAGCAAGCTGCTCCAGTGGAAGGGGTCCCTGCCCGTGGCAGGGGTTGGAGCTGGAGGAGCTTTAAGCTCCCTTCCAACCCACACCATTCCATGGTCCTACGCTCCCTGCACAAGTTACCATATGGTGCTGGCTCACCTCCACCATGCAGCCCCTTTTACACCTTTGCTGCCACCTCCCCACAAGCTGCTCTCACCTCTTTCATGATGGGATCCTGGGGGTCTTTGCTCTCCACAATGCAGGGCTCAACGAAGTACCCAACGCTGTCGTCGCAGCCACCTCCTGCCAGGATGGTGAGGTTGGGCGACTTCTTGGCGTGCTCGATCCACTTCTTTATCCGTGCAAAAGACTGAGAATAGGGAATAATGCAGCATGGGTTTGGGGTGTAAAAGGAAGTTTGGGCAACCCCTGTCAGGGCTGTGCTGCTCCCGGTGCTTCTCCAGCTCAGGAGCAGGAGTGGGAGCTGGAAACACAGCCCCAGGCGCTCTGATCCTGACATCTGAGATGGTTTCTCAGTGTAATAACGCACTCATCAAGAGGGGTGGTGAACAAGGCACGCAGTGCTCTAGGACGGAGCACAAGTGGGCTGAGGGGCAGCTCTAACCACTGATGTTCACACCTTGCTGCAAGCAACGCAAGCATTTAACCCAGCCCTTGGTGAAAGCCCGGTGGTGTCAGCTCCTTGCACCAGCAGAACAGGAGCGATGAGCTCACCTTGTCATCAATGACTGCAGAGAAAAACGTCCCAAAGTCCTGGGTGGGCTGTTGGGAAGCAAGAGAAGAGGGGAAGTCAGTGCCTGCCGAGCCAAAGAGCCGACTGCAGCACTTGGAGGAGCTGAAGGTCCCCACACAAGGCTCCCTCCCGCCCCAAGCACACCTCTGGTCCAGGGCACAAGCTGCCCCTTTTCAATTAGTCTGCAGCATTCAGCGGCTTGCAGGATCCCTCCTGCAGACCCTGGCTACAAGTTAATTTCTAATCACTATAAAGAAGGAGATGAAGGGGGCCAGGGCGGCGGGGAGAGCCGGGGATGAAAAGCTGGGTTCAATAGGAATTAGTAGCCAGTTACCGCAGTCCCTAATCCCATCAGCCCCCCGCTGAGCCGCAGAGCCCTTCAGCCGCCCCGCAGCTCCGCTCACATCTCCCACTTTGATCTTCCCGTGCTCCTCCAGCAGCTTCTCTTTGATGTGGGGCCACAGCGAGGCCGGGGCGTAGAGGCGGGAGCAGGCGGAGCATTTCTGGCCGCCGTACTCGAAGGCGGAGCGCAGGGTGCCGTTCACCGCGCTGCCCACATCCGCGGAGCTGTGCACCAGGTGGAAGTTCTTCCCTCCGCACTCTGCAGGGCCGGAGGGAGGAAAGGGGTGAGTGAGGAGCAGACCGGGGCGCGCAGAGAGCACAGAGCACAGAGCACAGCCAGGTCACCGCGGCAGCGCGCCCTGCCTGGCCCCATTGCTCCTCCATTGGGATGCCCCGGAGAGCAACCCCGGCGCCAAACCTGATGGGAAAGGGACTGGGCCGAGTTCCCAACCTTAGCTCTGTAATCCCAGGGGCACCTCCTCCCAAGGGCCCCACCATAAAAACCCATCCCATGCCAGTGGGAGCCGGTGCCATAAGCTCCTCCATATGCCCATCACAGCCACACAATCAACTTAGAGTCATAGAACAGTTAGGGTTGGAAAGGACCTTAAGATCATCCAGTTCCAACCCCCTGCCGTGGGCAGGGACACCTCACACTAAACCACGGCACCCAAGGCTCTGTCCAACCTGGCCTTGAGCACTGCCAGGGATGGAGCATTCACATCCTCCCTGGGCAACCCATTCCAGTGCCTCACCACCCTTATGGTAAAGAGCTTCTGCCTTATCTCCAATCTAAACTTCCCCTGTTTCAGTTTGAACCCATTACCCCTTGTCCTATCACTACAGTCCCTAGCGAAGAGTCCCTCCCCAGCATCCTTGCAGGCCACAGAGGATACAATTTGCTCGCAAGGAGAGGAATCCCAGCCATCACTCCAGGTTCTCCCTTCAACAGGGGACAAGCTGAACCCCCCACCCTGCAGGGCCACCCCTCCAAGAAGGTGTGGGAAGCAGCAGTTACCTCCAGCCAGACGGGGGAAGTTGCGGTAGCGATCCAGGTTTTCCGACACCTGCTTCCAGAGCCGCTTGAAAGTTCTGGAATGGGAAGGGGGAGCTGGTGAGTGCACAGGGAAAAGGCACCAGTGGGTGATGCGCTCTGCGGAAGGGGACCCCAGGAAACCCCTGTGTCTATCCCTAGAAGGGATGCCCTGCAAGCAGGGGGGATGCCCGCTGAGAGTGAGGCCTTAAGGACCCAAAGGCACTACACAAAGAAACTGCTGCAGTGCCACAGCAGTGAGCATCCAGGTGAGGTTTGTCCCCTTTGCCTTTCCCCCCTACCTCCCGGTCCTTACTGTGACCAACCCCTCTGCTGGAAACAATAAAAATGCTAATAGCCTCCCAGCAGGAGCCCAGCCGCTAACACTCATTTATGAGCTTCCCACCTCTAAAGCATGATGCTCATCAGACCATGTCCTGCGCCGGGGGAGCAGGCTCCCCGGGTTTAACAGCCCGTTGAGGCTGCCAGGGACCCTGGGTGTCAGTAACACACCGTGATGAGCAGGCAGAGCACGGGGCTGCAGAGCTCCCTGGAGCTGGCACCGCTCTGCAGCACAGGGAGATGTGTTCAGGGAATCACAGGAGCGCTGGGAGATGGGGCAGCGACACAGGCAAGTTTGTCTGCTCGGTGCCGTCAGTTTAGCAACAGAAGCTCCCTCCTGCTAAATTACATGGAGATTTCCTTCCAGTACCTAAAGGGGCTGCAGGGAACCTGGAGAGGGGCTTGGGACAAGGGCCTGTAGGGACAGGCCAAGGGGAATGGCTTGAACCTGCCCGAGGGGAGACTGAGCTGAGCTCTTAGGCAGAAGCTCTTCCCTGTGAGGGTGCTGAGGCACTGGCACAGGGTGCCCAGAGAAGTCCCATCCCTGGCAGTGCTCAAGGCCAGGTTGGACACAGGGGCTTGGAGCAAGCTGCTCCAGTGGAAGGTGATGTTCCGATGAGCACCGGCGGCTCCTCACCCCTCTCCCCTCTGCCCCCTCCCCACGTACGGCACGCTGCCGGTGAAGTTGAGCCCGCACAAGTGCTCGGAGCTGGTGACGGTGTCCCCAAACACGGGCCCGTCCGCCGGCACGAACTGCACGATGTTGGGAGGGAGCCCGGCCTCCAGCAGGATCTTGTAGACAGCGTAGCTGGAGAGCAGGGCAGTGTCACTCGGCTTCCACAGCACCACGTTCCCCTGCGGGAGAGGAGGCAGTGAGCACGGGAGGAAAGGCTTCAGCCCACACATGGGTGTGCAGTGATTAAACCCCCTGGGAAACATCAGTCCTGCAGCACACAGCGGATGGGACCACAGCAACGGGCACCTTGGGGTGATGCACACCCCCCAGGTACCCTTCAGCACCGGTTTTGACAGGGTCTGTGACTGCCTTGCTCGCCTGAAGGCACAAAAGCCCTCCCTTCTCAAGCAATGCTCCCTGTGCCACCTTCACACCCCCAGAGCTTTGCCTCCCAAAGAGGAGCTGCAAAGCACAGCCCTGGTTTAGGTGCTGGGAAAGGCGATGGCCCCACAAGCGCTGTCACTCGCTCTCTGTGTGTGTGTGTGTCTGTGCTGGCCCCAGCAGTGAGACAAACCCTCACTCCTGGATCAATCCTGCACAAGCAGCAGCACAATTGGCTGCAGGACCCAGCACCAGGGTCCCACCCCTTGGGCTCCTCGCCACCGTCCTGCCCTCGGCTCTGTGCCCAGCGCCCTCCCCACGTCACTGTCACAGTGCCTGGCCCCACTGCGCATGACCGTGCCATAGGGTCACTGTCCTGGGGGGCAGGAGGGGGGGGGTTGGACTCTGCCTCACCCAGGCACCTGCTTTAGAACCACAGAATGAATCCCTCACTGGGTTGGGCTGGAAAGGACCTTAACATCATCCAGGTCCAACCCCCTCCTCTACAGGCATCGCGGTGCAGGCAAAGCTCCTGCCTTCCCCCTTAATCCTTCTGCTCCTAACAGTGAGAAAACCCAACCACACTGCAGGAGCACCCCCAGGCAGGGAGATCTGACTCAGGGCACAGTCAGTGACAGCATTCCCAGCAGCACTGCTCCAGCGCCGAGGACTTCCCACTGCCAACGCTGCAATGGCAATACCCGCCTTGATCTCTCCAGCTCTTCAGGCAAGAGGAATGTTTAATCCCCTGGGAAGCGCACTGAGGTGACTGAAACACTGGGGCTTTAATTAACATCCACCTATTAAGTACCATTTTATCCTACATTTAATGCCAGGTACCACTGCCACTGAGTTTCTCAAGGCACCAGTGATGCCCTGGTCCTTGCTGCCCCTGGCCAAACAGGGGGACTTCATCCTGGTGGGAATTCATCTTATCCTCAAGGAGGGAGAGGTGGATGCACTGCAGGGTCCCAAGGCAGCCCTGGCAGCACGGGCTTGCCCCACCCCAACACGGTTCATCTCCTCTGGGATGAGTTTATCACCACATGTCCCAAAGGCAAGGACCTGCCCCAAATCCTGGGGTGGGAGGAATGCATCTCCCTTCCCCAAAAACCTTCCCAGCCCCACACTGGCTTTTCCCTCTCCCTTCCTTCTCCCCACTCCTCTCCTGCAAAAGTTCAAATGTTTTGCCTTGAATATGGCTTTAAAATGGGATGTCCCCACATCAAAAGCTTGGTGCTCCCCCTCATGGCTGCCTCTTCCACCTCTAACCCAGGAGCCTGCTGCCGGAGGGACTGCCTTTGGTGCCAGGATGAAATCTGGGCCTAACTAGTAAAGAGCTTGGGGTAATTCTGTGGTTTATTCCTTTCCATGTAAATGAATGCATCCTGGCCCAAACTCATCCCGTTATGGGTATCCCTCCCCAACACTCACCTTGCAAAGGCAGCATGTGAGCACACTGTGGTGGGACACACTGGCTGTTACCTAGATCTTTCTGGACCATCTCCCACGTCTGCCAGGATCAGCTGTCTCCCAGTTCAGTGCTAAATGCCAGGGCCATGACCTGCTCCCACCTACCCCCACTGTACCCAAAAAGCATCGTCCAAGAGGCACCTGAGCAATGACAGGGATCTCACTTCCGTGCCACAACAGCACCCTGGTCACAGAGCAAGCAGCACGCAAGGAAACAAACCCCTGCTGCATTGCTCATCTCCCTTCCCTCCCGCAGCATGAGACCTCCTCTTGATCTAGACCGCAGCCTAGGAGGGGGAAGCCAAGCTGCTTCCGAACACAACCCCAGGCCTGAGCAGTCTGTCCTCCTCCAACACATCACACCTGCCCATCAGTAGACAGGTCTAAGATCCAGCCATTAGAATGCCTTCTTGAGATCAAAGACATCAGAGCCTAATTGCAGCAGAGCTGATGGAGTTCAAGGGGACCAAGAGGAGGAGGAGCCCCGCTGTGTCCCATTGAACAGCACCAGGGAGCCTGAATTCACCCCTTGCAGACCCCAGACCAGGCAAGCTGCAGCCTTGGAGACCAGCCCCTGCTCCAGCCTTCCCCTGCACAGACCCAACAGCACTCACCATCAGCGCTGGAGCCCCGGCCAGGTTCCCACCGATGGCTGTGAAGTTGAAGGGGGAGACGGCTGCCACGAAACCCTGCGGTGGGAGAGGAGAGGGAGCACTGAGCCCAGGGAGCCTCCTCTCACTGGGGTGACCCCACAGCCTGTGTATGAAAAGCCCCAGCCCCTGCCCTCACCTCCAGCCCCCGGTACACCATGCTGTTGGTGCTGATGTCCACGCTGATGGGTTGGCTCTTCTCCAGCTCCAGGGCGTACTTGGCGTTGAATCGGAAGAAGTCGATGAGCTCGGCGGCAGCATCGATCTCTGCCTGGATCACTGTCTTACCCTGTTGTGGCAGAGAAAGGCACTGAGAGGAGGCAAGGGGAATGCAGAGCCCTGAGCCGCAGTGCAGCTCACCCAGACCAGGTGCTTGCCTCCTGCAAGCCCCCTCCTGCCACGTCTCCTTTGCACTGAGCAAACACCACCCATGGCTGTGCCTGGGGCCACCGCATCACTCCTGTTCCCCACTGCCCTTTAGTGCATCTCCTGGGGCAGCCAGGGCCTTCTGCAGGGGTACACCCTGATGTCTACCGCTCACCATGAGCTGATCCTGCTCCCATGAAGCCCAACTCCCAGCTTCACCTCCCTTGTCAGCAAAGAGGCCGCAGTCAGCCTGTATCCCCCCACAGAACACCTAGAGACGCTTCTAACATGACAGCCATTCCCACTGCCCAGCAATACACTGGCAGCAATCCCTGCCCTGCTTCCCTGCTCCCCACGCTCCCTCCCACGCACCCGTTACCCACAGGGTCAATCCCACATCCCCCTGACCTGCCCGATCATGGTTTTGGCCAGCACTTCTGCTCGCCTCGGCCCGCTCAGCATGTCAGCTGCCTTCAGGAAGATCTGCGCCCGGTCCTGCACAGGTTTTAGGTCCCATTCCTTCCTCGCTGCCAAGGCAGCGTTAATGGCTTTGTTAATGAGCTCCTGCAGGAGAGAAGGGGAAAGGCAGCAAGGAGGAACCCCATCATCACCCATCATCCCTAGGCACAACCCAGTGCACTCACCTTGCTAGCATAGCAGAACTTGGCCACCTTGTGTGCATGGTTAAATGGCTGAAAAGAGAGGAAGAGCCCACAGTTATGGGTCCAATAGATTACCCTCCCATGGGTACATCCCTCAGGTGCATCCCTCTGTCCATTCCCACTTGTTAAAGCAGGTTTCCCCCGCACTCACCGACAGCTGGTACCGCACCGTTGGTGTCCACACCTCTTCTCCCCCAATCACACATGGGATGGCTTCTGTCTTGCCCTTCAGGTCAGCAAGTGCCTGATGGAGGAGAGCACCACGGGGGGAGCTGCACACATAGACCTGCACATGTGGACCTGCCTCTCCCTCTGTCTTCCCAGCCAGCCCCACAAGCAAAGGGAAACCTGGGGACAAGCTTCCTTTGGGCCCTAGGTGTCCACAGGCTGGAGGGACAGGGATGGGAGTTACAAATCCAAGTGTTCCCAAACTATCCTGGGCTGCATCCCCAGCAGTGTCAGGAGCAGGTCAGAGGAGGGGTCCTGCCCCTCTGCTCTGCTCCCATAAGACCCCACTTGCAGCACTGTGTGCAGTGCTGGTGTGACCAACATAAGGACATGGAGCTGTTGGAGCAAGGCCAGAGGAGGCCACGGGGATGCTCAGGGGCTGGAGCAGCTCCTGTATGGAGCCAGGCTGAGAACACTGGGGCTGCTCAGCCTGGAGAAGAGAAGCTGCATGGAGACCTCAGAGCAGCTTCCAGTGTCTGAAGGGGCTGCAAGGATGCTGGAGAGGGGCTCTTCATCAGGGACTGTAGGGATAGGACAAGGGGTGATGGGTTCAGACTGAAACAGGGGAAGTTCAGGTTGGAGATAAGGCAGAAGCTCTTCCCTGTGAGGGTGCTGAGGCGCTGGCACAGGGTGCCCAGAGAAGCTGTGGCTGCCCCATCCCTGGCAGTGCTCAGGGCCGGGTTACACACAGGGGCTTGGAGCAAGCTGCTCCAGTGGAAGGGGTCCCTGCCCATGGCAGGGGTTGAAGCTGGAGGAGCTTTAGGGTCCCTTCACCCCAAATCGCTCTATGAAAAGGAAAGGGAACAGGACGGGGCTGGCCCCCACCAGGGAGGACCCTGGTCCTTTAGGACCCCCAATAGCCCCATCCCGTGGGCTGGTACCTTCTGCAGCGCTGCTCGCTCGGGGCTCCCTGGCTTGAACTCCAGGATGGGCTCGTTGGTCACCGTGATGGCCGAGTGGTGCCGCCACCTCCGCCTGGGACAGGGGGCACAGGAGACACCGAAACCCGCTGGTTCCCTCCTTCCCAGCCTCCCAGCACCGCGTGGCTTCGGCTCCTTGTGCCACGCAGCCACGCGTGCCCAGGCACAGCCCCGTGCTGCTGCTCCCGTGCTCCATCCGCCCATCGGATCGCGATGCCCGAGCCCGGACATCGCCCCCAAGACAGAACCCCCCTCCTCGCTATGGCAGACGCTGAATTCCCATGGGAAAGGCGGTGTTCGCTCCCACACCCCAGCGCGCTGCCAGCTCCTGGTAAAGTCCAGGGGGCAAAAGCCAACGCGGTCCCTGCTGCCCGCTCCGGTGCGCGGCTGGACCTTGGGCTGCGGGTTCCCCGGCTCAGACCTGCCCATGTCAGCAACACCGCCCCAAAAACGGGTGGAAAAGGGGGGCAGAAAGGGCGAGAGAGGGAGGAAACGGCGGGGCTCGGCAGCGGGAAAGGAGCCAGCGAGGGCTGGAGCAGCGAAAAGGGAGCCCCGACGGGAATGTAAAGGGTCCGGGGAGCCGGGGTGGGACGGGGTTGGGCTGTTCCCACCGGGAAAGGGAAAGGAAGGGGAAAGGGAGAGGGAAGAGAGAAAGGAAGGGGAAGGGGAAAGGGAAGGGAAGGGGCAAGGGCCGGGACCCGTCACTCACCCGCCGCCCCTCAGCGCCCGCCACATCCCTGCCCCACCGCGCTCCCCGGCCGCGCCCACACCACCGCAGATGGGGGGGGGGGCACACACGGGGCGCCCCAAGCGCTCCCAATGGAACGGGAGATGCAGGCCCAAGGGAGCGGTGAGGGTCGCTCCCACCGCGGCCCCACTCCCGCACGCTCCGGTGCGCGGGGCCTGGGCGGGTCCCGTGCGGGTCCCACCCCTGCTCCGTGTGCGGGGTGCCCCCCCGCTCCCCCCCCCTGCCCAGGAGGCGGTGGTTGCGTCCGACCAATGGGGAGGCGGCGAGCCCTGGCACGTGGGAAAGGGCGGGGCGCTCGAGCTGGGCAAAACTCATTAATTAAAGGGAAATTAAGTAATTGTCATTAATAATAATTATAATAATTAATAATCATAAATGACCCGAAGGAGGTGGCTTCGGCGGAAGGGCCCAGTCTCGGACCTGCGTGGAGAGAGCAAAGGAAGATGAAGCAGCTGCTCCCACCCATTTAAGGACTCAAAATTGGGGGGGAGAAAGGGGATTTCACCCCAAAATGGGGACGTGGCTGAGGCACAGGCCAGGAGGAGGCTGGGGGTGGATGGGGTGGGTTCAGCTCCAGCAGAAAAGCAGGAATTTAAGAGGGTAGCTGAAAGATCAGCGGTTTTAGGGGAGGTTGGGGGATTCAGGGGTACTTTTAGGGGAGTTCAGGGGATGCGGTTTAGGGGAGGTTGAGGTGCTTTCAAGGGAGTGTGGGGTAATATTCTGGGGGGAGTTTGGAGTACTCTGGGACCCCAAAGCACCTGCCTGAACCCCGGGCTGTGGAGCCAGGGGGACAGGAACCGTGTCCCCCTCCTCAGCTCCAAATCTACAAGCAGTTTTTGCTTTAAAAGCATTTTCCACCCCAAAATCAGCACACGCAGCCATTAACCAGGAATTCCGTGTTTATTTTAGGAGGTTTTTGTCCTTTTTTCCTCTTTTTTTCCTCATCACCAAAGCATGACTGGGACCCGTTTCCATCACACCCGCTCTGCATAGAGAAGCCCATGGCGGGGGGGGGGGGGGGAGTACAGCGAGCGATGGGTGGAGCACTGAAGGATGAACCGCTGGGATAAGGACGGATGGACACAGGATGCGACAGAGGAGCAGGGAGCAGACCTGGAAGGGGTCGGTGAGGTCGGTTTTGGCACTAAAAAAGGAAACTGGAGATAATCCGCTGGAACTCGGAGGAGCACGAGTGCTTCTGGCTCTTGCTGCGGGGGTTTCTCGGTGCTTCACCTAAAGTGGATTAGGTTTTGGAAGCCTTTGATGGCCCAAAATCCCCCTCCAGTGAGTGCGTGTTCCACTGGGTCTGCTCACAACCACCCAGCACAGGCTTCCAGCCGCAGAGGGAATCGATTTGCAGCTCGACTCCGGAGCAAGCCTGGGAGCTGGTTCATCCTCCGTCCTTTCCTCGCCAGAGATCAAACAGCATCATCAAGTTCAGTCTTTTTCTTGAAAAGAAGCTAATATACAGAATACAAAGCACTATATTTACACCAGTAACGGTAAACAGGTTCATCTCCACACTGATCAGCAGTCTGTTTTCATGTGTATAAAAAGAGAGTCTTGCACGACTTCAGAGGAACTGATGAGAAGTGACACAGCACGGGGAAAGAGGCATCAATACCCTCCACTTAAACACCTTAAATAATAAATAATCATTACTTTTTGGGCAGAACTCAGCTAACACACACTTTAGCCACAGATGTTTAAGGACTGAATTGAGTGTCTTTTGGTGGAATCGCATTACACAAGAAGTGTTTTTAGTGACCCAGCTTTTAACCATCCTCAACCCTCTCTAATTTAAACAAAACTGCAGGATTTCAGATGGCATCTGTGCAGGGGTCACCAGTCCGGGCAGCCCACACCCAGGGAGGGTTCTGCATTGCTATGACACAGCTCTGAAGCCACCCTGGGGTTGGTTTTAAGCATCATCATCATTATTTCCTCCAAAGATAAGAGCCAAGAGACCTGTGAGCCCCATCTCTGCCCACAGAAGTGCTTCACTGCTGGAGTGCCTCAAATCAGGAGGGAATTGAGTTCTAGAAGCAGCAAATACCCACTGCTTAAACACAATTTGTTGCTTCTTCAAAAGAGAAGCTCTGAAAGGCTCCCGCAAATGCGGAAGGGTCTTAAGACACTGAACTACACACAAAAACAGACAAAAGGGAACAAATCAAGTGGTTTTCACTGCTCTGCCAGAGACTTGTGTTCAAGCCTTTAGTGTTCCCCTCTCCAGAACCAGGATGGCAAGGGACTGAATTAAGATTCTGGCAGGCTGCGTCTCTAGTTCACCTCTAAAACCAGCATTATTAACACCAGGTTACTACATGCTGCCTTGGCCAGCAATTTGTTTTCTCTTTTAAAAGTCAAACAGAAGTTTGATTCAACTAGAAGCTTTTCTGGGTGACTTAACACTGAAGGCAAAGCTTTTTCAAACCTGTGTGTTCCCCTGCCACCAAGTCCTAGACCAGTGCAAAAGAATAAAAAGAACCAGGAGTCCTGAAGAAACATAAGGAAAATCCTCATCAGGGTATTACTAACAATGGAAGCACTATGATTTGTTCATTTTGCTGTGATAAATCATGCTTTTTAAACACTCAGCTCTAAAATGAAGCACTCAAATGTGAAACACAATCAGAGACTTCCCAATATTGCCGTTCTCCTCCCGCACGCTCCAACACAAACATTCTTCCACGGCTTTCCAGAGCCAAGGGAAACAAAAGGAAATCGCTGCTTTAGAGAGAGCGCAGCAGGGCTGTGGCAAGGCTGTGAGCATCCCCCCCATCGCTGCGGCTTTCCCTCTGCCAAGCCTGGACCAATGACCCAACTTCTGCTTTTGCTGGCAAGAACGGTTACTCAGAATGAATAACCTCAGATTAGAAGCAGCTTTAGAAGTAGATTCAGGCACAGTTCTGAGCTATTATTTTGTTTCATCAAGTGAATTCCAATTCACGTGGGGACTAACACCATTTATCTTCCAGCCAGGTAGAACACAAAAGATGCTCCGGGGCAGGATTTAAAACGGCTGTGCCACAGCGGGTTGGAACTGGATGACCTTAAGGTCCTTTCCAACCCAAACCATTCTGTGATTCTATGGTTCTCATCCCCCTGGTATTCAGGGGAGCAGACAGAGGTTCTTACCCTCACAGCAGAACCCCTTGCAAACAGGGGAAGGAAAAAACACCACAATGGGTGTTTTTACAGCAGCATAAGTCTGCAGTGGCAGCAAAGCTGTTAACTGTTTGCTTCCCCCACCTTGCTCGAGGAAGCGATGGGCGAGTGCTTCACAGCCATACCTGTCATACTGTTTCCACATTATCGCTTGAAACCGCTAGAGAATTTGGAGCCCCACCAGAGCAGGAGATACTTTCCAAGGGAATAATTACATTTGCTGACAGAGTTCTGTTTGCACTTTAAAAACCTCTAATAAAAATAGACTATATAGTGGGATTTTATAAATAGAATACACATTTAGCTTCGATGAGTTCCATTACACCCCCCACCCCCCCCCTTTAAAGAGTTTTGTCTTTAACTCATGTGAACTAACATGATAATTACTAAGTCTCTGAAAAAACACATTTGTACCACATTATTCTTTGGACATTTTTGAACATGCATCCACAAAAGCAATTGCCGTTTGTGTACTGAAAACAGTTGTGTCGTACAAACCCAGTTTAGGAATCGGATCGAGTAGTACACTGCTCACAAGCAAAAAAATTTGCTTCCTTGGAATCCTCGTGTAAAAAATGAGACACAATGAGGAGGATTTTCGGATCGGTAAGTCTAAAAACGTGTCAATATGACACCGCAGTAAGAATAGAAAACAAAAAGAAAGTATTTACAGCTTTACAAAGGAAAAAAAAAAGAAAAGAGGTCATCAAAATCATTTCCAGCATTTTCACCTTTTTCTGGCAAGCTTTTGATCTGGTTTCTATGGAGTGGTTACATGCGAACAGAACAGGACCACTGTCGGCTAAGTCAGCAGCATCGCTTGAAACTAAAACAAAGACCTCCAAGGGAAACTCTCAAGGACCGACCCTGGTGATCCACTGAGTCCTACACAGCCTAAATAAAAATAAACCCCTGATCCCGAGTATGAAAACACCTTTTCTTCTTTAAAAATGGATTACATATGCTTATAAGAAACAGACACCAACAACCATGGTAATTTACTGTCGTACACATCACCACCATACACATTAATTCTAAACCCTCTACTCTAGCCCTGCAACCCTTACACTTCCCAACAGACACAACCCTACTACAGATGCTCCTCGTAATTATGGCTATGAGATAAACCCGAGGTTACAGCTACCTTGTTACAGCTGAAGTTCTGCTTCCTCACTTGGTTCTTGCTGGCAAACTGAGGATGTTCTGCTCTTTCCTACCCTCACCACACCAGCTCTCAGGTTCAAGAACTCCCAGCCTTTATCCTACTAGGATGCTGAGTCTGAACGGAAACAAACCCCGCAA